ATATTTCGATAGAGAACATCATTTTAATATATTTTAAATATTTAAATGTTAATTATAGTAATATTTTAATATTTAATAGGAATTTTATTGTGATCAGACTGACAATATTTAAACAAATATATATTTATCACAATATGACGCAACTTTATCATCTCATTAGAAATAATGGTTTATTAAAAATGTTCGCCGTAGCGTTCTACTTTTTCCATCGGAACCATAAAATTTACCTGGTAAAAGTAATGATGGAACGTAAGTCCAGAACTGTAATGCGCAGATGCAATCATAATATTTTTTAAACACGTTAATGTCCACTAACTTTTCTTTAAAACCTTTCCATTAAACCTTTGACACTGGATTGCACAAGTTTCGACATTGAAACCGAGGAAGACATGAACGAATATTAGAAGAATTAGCTTAAAACAAATGAATTTTCACTTTTTAATGTCTTTTTGGTACAAGTTCTGTTTCCACAACCGTTGTCCCACAGAAACTGGATCTTTCAGTTAGATTGTGGTGTTGTGGACTGCTACACCGTGTAGTCGGGGTGGAGGCTACCGACGTTTCGGAGCAACATTCCACCTCCGCCTTCAGGGTTGAGTGACTTTCTCCTGACTTGTCCTTAAGAGGGCAGCAATGAGGTTAAAGCCTACATCGTCCATCGTTGTCGTTCCGTCTCGTCGCCATTTTTGTAATTTTAAAGTGAAAATGTTCCACACAAAAAATGTAGATATGTTTATCATATAACGCAGTTGACATTTATGGTTGCGATGTTGCATTTGTCATTACAGCTCTGTACAAAACAGTTTTCATTCAGTTTATTCGCATAATTTATCTCATTATAGTGATTAAGTCAAAATGATTAAATTGGTAGGACATACAGCGTACTTACAGAAAATAAGAAACGTTTGGTAGGAAAACCTCTAAGTGACCAATATGTAAATGGAAGATTTTAGGTTTTCACAGCGGTGAGTATGAATTCATCGCCCTGATGATGGAGGCAGTATGACCCCTGATACGTTGGTTAACATCGACCAGACTACACAGCGCAACAACCCAGAAGACAGAAATCTTCATACTAAGAATCGCCCTGATGATGGAGGCAGTATGACCCCTGATACGTTGGTTAACATCGACCAGACTACACAGCGCAACAACCCAGAAGACAGAAATCTTCATACTAAGAATCGCCCTGATGATGGAGGCAGTATGACCCCTGATACGTTGGTTAACATCGACCAGACTACACAGCGCAACAACCCAGAAGACAGAAATCTTCATGTAAATTGAAGATAAACATCAGCGTCAGTTGGTGTTTCACTATAGAAACAAGGCGCGTGAATTGAAGCCCACTCCTAGTGGAGTGAAATTTTTTTTATGGGCACCTATTCGTATTAAAAAATAATACGCTCGAATTGCAATATTGAGCTACTGACAGTTAAAAAAATTGCGTGTAAAAATAAACACGACGAGGATGGGATTCGAACCCACGCGTGCAGAGCACATTGGATTAGCAGTCCAACGCCTTAACCACTCGGCCACCTCGTCGACGCGAAGCTGCCTTGCCAAAGACTAGTGTCATTATTATCACTGACGTTCCTCAATTACGTATTTGTGTTTAACATTTCTGTTGTGTATCTTTCTCCATTTTCCATACGTGTCTACGTGGATGTCGGATTCTGTTTCTGATTGGAGATAAGATGAAGGGTAAATCAGCCCTTTCATAAGACGTAATATTTTGAGAGGCTTCTCCAATCAATGAGCGATTGCCCTGCTCCTCGCGGGCCTAGTTATAGTTATTTGCACATGCCTTACAGCCAGATCAATTGTTATATTAACCATCATGCATGTTTGTTTTATCACGGCAAAGTATTGTTAGGCCTTGTGATTTTTTCTGAACTTCGAGACGAATGCAAATTCCTTTCGGAATTAAGTTTTCTGCGAAGGTTATATCTTGTCCTTTAATTTGCAAAATTATTATAATATTTAGTGTTAGAACTGTAAATTATAAAAAAAAAATAGGGCAGTTCTTGATACTTTCCTTATTAATCAACCTCAACCTTGAACGAAATGTGATCACGGTAATTGTTGCCCAACTTTGTGTTCCAACAAGACCCCATTTCAGATTGTTGCTTTTGTTATCCAACATTGGCACGGGGTCATGCAGGTTGTTTACCTCCTAGGGAAAACGCGATTGGCAGACATGGACGGGCCCATAAGATGTTCTTTGATCGTGCTAGAGCGCAAAAGTATAGATTATTAAATGATAACTGAACAGTTCATATTTGATTTACAAACAGAGGATATTTTTGGACGGTTAATCGTTGTCCCTTGCAGTCAAAGCAGGAATTTTTCATCCTTTGTCAGACATTTGATATGTGAGCAACGGATGCCGTGAAGGACTTCGTTCTTGTAATACCGAAAAGTGATTGTAGATGACACTAAAGGTTCCAGATTGCGTTGCATGTTTCGTGATAGTTACACATTCTGTTCGCAGATGTCAGATAGTGTCCGTGTATCTTAACACATTCTTTGATATACACCATTCTGTTTGTAGGGGGGTGTTGAATTCGAATTTACTTTGATCAACAGGTGTTGTAGTAGGAAGGAGAACAGAATCAATATGGGGGCTTTTCCCATTGGATTTGAGGTTGACTAAGTAAATTTCTTTTGTGTGTGTTCACTCTCCGGTGTGAGCGAAGAAAACCTTACGGTTCATGTATGTCATCTGTTGAGTTTTTCGCGAGCTACTCAATATGCATGACCTCGTATGACAGTGCAATAATGGCGTGACCTTGGCTCGTGTCAGTACCGCTACAAACGACGTGAAGACCACTACAGGAATATCGGTTTGTTCCAACGACTACACTTTTCCATTCTTGTTGAAGCTGTGTGATTCTACTCCAGTATAAATTACGTAAACGTTGGACAGTTGTTTTTATACGTACCTGTAACATACATGTAGTCTTTTTGTGAACCTTTGGGTTACTAGTCCCTAGTCTGGCACCAATAAAATATAACATATATTTAGACGTGCTTCAAGGTAAAGCGATCGAATTCACCACAAGAACGTGAGTGAAAGAAAGTTTTAAAATTGTTCGGGAAACGACTAAGTACCTTTGGGACTTAAGAAAGAAAGTTCTTAGTCAATAGTGAATTTTATTGACAGTAATAAACAAGTTGAAGGAAATGCTTTCGTTTTTCGTGTATTAAGTATTTATAAGTTTCAAATACGCTCTACATAATACGAACAGTTTTCTTTTCTCTCGTATCTTTCTACCTGTGTTCTTAATTTTTAAGCAGTAGTCGCCCTCTGATATTGTTTGGACGCCATGCAAGTTCTGTATCGAGAACATTTCGTAACACGAAGCTGTTGAGAAGAACGTGAACCTGAGTAGGAAGACGTAACAGGAGGCTGGAGAAGATTGCATAACGATTAGCGTATAAGATGAATGTTTCACCAAATTATCAGTAAGATGAGAAAATCTGCGAGATATAAGGGCATGGGAGGGATGGAAAATTTTCCAAAAAAAAAAAATTTAGTCGGAAAATCCGAAGGATACCTAAACGCAGATTATAGGATGATATTAAAATAGATCTTAGAGATATATATGAGATTGTGACGATGTGAATTGAGTTGATCTGTTCCGAAATAGGGACCAGTGGATACGGTAATGAACTTCAGGTTTCCTGTAAGGCAATGTGGGAGTCTTTGACTAGCTGAGCGACTATTAGCTTCTCGTCAAGGACTCAGATATTATTAACACACCAGAAACTTAATTGAAATTGCTTTTGGAATGCTCCTCGTGTACGTTGTATGACTATTTTTCTGTGATGAAATGTTTTCGATATATCTAAATCAAAATAAGATATTCTCACTACAATTTCTAATGGTAAATCTCTCCAAATCGAATTTTCGTTGAAATCCGTTGATGGTTTCGGGTCGACAGACAGACGTTCCTCGTTGAAGGTCCATGATGTTGCGTCTCATCCATTACGTGACTCACGCACTTGCGTGAAACCTAGAACATTTCGGGACCAGTGCAGTTTTGTGATACAAAAATATCGAATGTTTTTTTAAAAAAAAAATCTTTGAAAGACGTTTCCTGTGCAAAATACATCGACTTCAAAACACTCCGAGCAAATTCATTGGCTGTTTATAGCCTCTTTTGAGGTCGTCTTATTCTCTTTCTTTATTATTTTCACCTTTTTCGTATCCTTCCTCTCTTCTCTCCTTCATTTTCCTTCATTTTGTCCTCGACAACTGCAAAGATCACGCCAAGACTCCATTAGCACAATCAAACAGTCGTTCCACTTCATAATTCGGCAGAGTTCCCAGACCCACAGCCCTGGAACACCAGATTACGGTTTAATATAAATAAATGTAAGATGTTAGAAGAGGACAGGAAGCGGAAACGCGAAAATCACGGTACCACAACAAAAGGCCAGTTACTTACAGCGCTGTCGGCCTTGACGTCACGTGACATGCCCCAGTGCTGCGGAGATATTACATTAGTACCGGCTGTGATCGAGAGATAGCAGCACGAGGACCTCTTCTAGTCAGTATAATGACCAATTAGCACAAGGATTTCTTTTCATCCGCGGAACGAAGACCAGTTGTACGTAAAGCTGACTATAGCTTGATAATAAATATGCCATGACTGATTCTGTGACGTATTGGCCAATAAACACGTAGCGTGGCTCACGAAGGCGAAATTTATATGAGGTAGAAGTCGGATGTGGATAGCGATGTGTCGTAAGGAGAGAGAGAGAGACATTCGCGGAGTAATACATTTCGACCATTTCCTTGTCAGCCCATGTAATGTATCCGATTTCGATGGCATTTGGTAAGGACGGTCTGTCTATACACTGAGAGATCCTGGCTTGAATTATAACTTTGTTATAATTCAAGCCAGGATATTTTACAGGTAATAGTGGAAATATCAGTATTTCTGTGTCGTGTTGCATCAGCTTTTAAGACGGCGATGGTGTAAAATCTCTCTGGCGTGAATTTAGAAAGAAATAGGATTTTTTTTTTCTCACGAGGTTCTTGGAAAGGCGTTTTTTGTAAAAGTACTGTAAAAAATTACTTTTCTCCCACAAAGTGTTTCCGATCCCTGAGCCAGGTCTTTCGGTTGGTTTATTGAAGAAATCCCACAACCTAGAATAAATATATATATATATATATATATATGTACATACATATGGCTTATATGAATTGGTAGGTCTTTGGATAGATGTGTGATGAATTGATGCATATGTGGTTGGAATAAACTGACCTGGAAGGGGATTCTTTGTCCGAACTGGCATAATATTCTGAAAATGTAGTTACATTTCTGAAGTCTGAAGACTTTTCAGTATCTTGGGGCTGCGAGAGACGTCAGACGCATGCGCGTTCCAATCCTTCACAGTGAAGGAACGGCGTGAACTTCACGCTTCACCTATTTGATGTGAAACACGTGCTACTGCTCTGAAGTAACAAACTAGAAGCAATTTTCCACGTTCTGTGGACGACGTAAGCTTGCAGGAAGTGAACGCGTGATGGATAGGTCGTGTTTGTCCGTCCGTAAATAACTGCATAGAAGAGTTCTTGTTGAGAAGCTGATAGTCACTCAGTTTATTGAGTGTTTTATGAGATGATAAATATATATTTGTTTAAATCTTGTCAGTCTAATCACAATAAAATTCCTATTAAATATTAAAATATTACTATAATTAACATTTAAAATATATTAAATGATGTTCTCTATCGAAATGTTCTATTTACATTAGAACATCAATTTTTACACGACATGTTTCAGTTCTAAATGAACCATCTTCAGGTGTATAAAATTATATAAAGTTAAATATAATTTCTTAAATGTAACTTTTAGTCAGATGTTTATCAGATTTCAAATTTCAAATGATGTTATCTTCCAGATTTTTATGTATTTTTTAATATCGTATTCGAAGTTGTTCGTATATATGTACGTCGTGTTTAACATGATTTTTGTGTGGGTGAATGTTTTGATGTTGTTTTTGTATCATCCTGTAAAATAAATAATATAAATACTAAATGAATATTAATAAATTAGAAATAGAAAATAAAATAATATATTTGATAATTTGTTTTAGGGTAAACGGTGATTAGTTACTGTCGTTGGCTAAAATAAAACCGGAATTAGTTTAATCCAGTTAAAACTTCCGTACCATATTTCATTATGATGTATTTTAATAAGCATTTAGATAAATCTAGGTTTCATAAGTGGCCTCTTCAGGCATTCCGACTATAAATATCTTTCTCATTTCACTAGTTCTACAACGGGAGGGTTTATTTTCCACCATCAAATCCTAAACTGGAGGAACACTTCATTTGGACGGTCCACTCGTGTTTATTCCGCATATTCGCATGTCTGGAGTCTGTTTCCGCTGTCCGAACCTGAAGACGTGTCATGCGTTCACTAGGGATCCACTCCCTTCATTTATGTTTTTGGTTCTTGCTGTAAATCGGCGATTTTCGTCATGTAGGTACAAAAACATTTCGCTGGAATAAGTCATATGTGATATAGGCCTGCATCGCATCTATGGGTATGATTGTATTTAATGTGATTTATAAAAGTAACAAAAATGCTGAAGTATTAAGATACTAAAGAAACGTTTTCAGTTTACTTTCAACAACTTTTTTTGCTAGTAAATCGTTCAGCGTGACTTGATCCACGATAAAATTTTGTTCACGAAAGCATTTTTCATTTTTATTACAGCGTGACCCAAATTGAGATGTACGATACTAAGTTAGCACTTTCAACGGTGGAGAAAACTACTTCAGGTCACTTGTCATTACTGCAACAACGCAAAGTGAGAGATGCACTGAATATTCAGCTGCATAAAGTGTGGGTTTTTCATAGCACATCAAATACCACCCGAAAAATCACGAAAGTACAAAAACGGAAATTTCTTGTGTAATATCTGTTATAACATGTATTTTTTCTACATTTGTAAACAAAATTAACTTTAAAGAATTGGGTCATTAAGGCTGTTTCGTTGAGTCCCAAGATAGTATTGGAAATCTTGAATATTAATAAAAAGAGAAGTTAATATTTTAGTTTGCGTGGTCTAGCGCTGGCCTTGTAATCCTGGGGTCTCGGGTTCGCATTTATAACTTGTGTTGGGCAAGGGGGTGGTCTAGGCAACACGGAGTTTTCGTCCGTGGCATCCCAACAATTACTCCATTCACACACAGAAGAAGGCAATGACGAACCACTTCTGGATCATCTGCCAAGAACGTATATGAACAGGTCCCAGTCCGAGAAGAGAAAAGGATGGAAGGATCCTGTTCATATGGACCTGTCGTCAGACAGAACACTAAATAATAAAATAATAATAATAAAGGTACAAGGACGCCTCGTGTTGGTTGCAAAATCTAAATCTTCTGCATATAGTAAGATTCTAAGTAAGTATCAGTAGTCATCTAACTGGTTAGTTGTATAATTAGTTGATTCGTTGTTTGGTTAACTATTCCTCGCCCTCGCGTTCTTCCTGTCGAACAGCGGATAATATGAACCCTCAGTTTGAGGGTGAGTGCCCCTGACAGAGGGGCTGATACTTACTGTGCTAAGCAACACGTGGTAATCTGGCTAAGGAACGGGGTGGTTAAGGTACAGGAGGGTTGCGTAGCTCGAGGGGGATACAGAAGAGAATGGGTGATACTTATACGTCTAACCGAATTACCCCTAAAAACGATATGAATGAACACAAAGCAGTGAAACACGAGTAGAATCGGTGTGACACTGTGTAGAAGAGTTTTGACTTCGAAGGGAGAACATTTTAGTCGAAAATTATGCAGGCCTGGTAGGAGTAGATTTGTAAAAGTGTAAATCGATGAGGTCTGTGACCTGTAACCCACTTTTCGTGCCATATTTTTTAGGGGCAGGGTAAAGTAAAGTTGTTGCAGATTATTGAGCAGTGGAGCTTTACGTGATTTTAACCTTGGAACTTGATGGAGGTGAGTGGTTAGCTTCAATCCCCAAATTTGATTACAGCATTGAAAAAAAAAAACTACCGTTGGATCCTATCGTGAACAGGTTCGTTGGTTTAGTCGGAATCTGCCCAATTCCGAGGTCTTTGTCACATTTCGTGACTTTTTTTTTTACACTTGGAAAAAGGAGAATAAGAAGACAGTCGCCTTCGTATTTACCGCCCTGAAAACCTCAAATTCTTCTCAATAAATTGTCGTTTGCAGGGGCCGACACAGGATGTAAGCAGGGCCATGTTGCACAGTGAAGATGAACCCAGGAGCGTAATATCCGGTTACAGTTCGAAGTCCTGTTTGTCTCCTTCTCAGTGATTTTCAGTTTCCTGAGATTGCTACAGAAAGCAAGTGACCTTGATTACCCCAAAATTGAAAATTCGTAATGTCGAGCTTGTACTCGTAGCTGAAGACCATGTACAAACTTAGCTACAGACGTGTATTTTGTACACGTAATAGTCTTGCAAAACAGGGGTTCTCTCGACTGTCACGAATAACGTACATGTAGGATTCGAATTCAGGACTTCAGCGTGCGTGCCTGTGTCTTGATGAGTAACGCGCATCCAAAAAATTACAGAGATGTGTGCCCTTCCTCAAGTTGGCCTGCTGATCTGTGAACGACCATTGAAACGATGACGGGAGTGGACAGATGACGTCAGAAACCCGTTTCATTTTGTCTGGAAACAACAGAACTCAAGACCACAAGAAACAGCTTTGATTCTGCTGGCCGATGTCGATAAACAGGAAACAAGGTTTTTGTTGTTGTTGTTGGTTCCTTGTAGTGACCTTGCGTGTAAGACAGGCTCTGAGACATGGATGGAGTTAGAGGACACTTGCTTAGGGTTTAGTTACGAGTATAGTCGAGCAGTAGGAAAAGAGATGAGTAATGCATGATGAATTGACATGAATACTGAAGGAAGTATAAATGACTCAATATAAGTACCGTACTGGCATTTGCCTGGAGGGCCTGAGAAAAATAACGAAAAATCTTCATCCATTTAGGCGGTCGCTGGATTATAATTTGAAACCGGGACCTCGGAAAACAAAACAGGAGTGCTAAGCGATCGGCCCACAGCTTTCGGTGGGTCCCTGAGAAGATGATATAAGGTTCATTACCGTATTCACAAAAGCCTTCGACTGTGATAATAATGTGGGTGTTGTAAATTGCAGTCATTAACAGATTCCTGTCAAATGACGTGATCAGTCATTTGAGACTTGAGTACAATTATCTCGTGTGCTGGTTCAGATGCTCTAAAGACATGCCTGAGCACGTCACGAAATGCGACTCGAAGACACGCAAAAGAAGAGAAGTTTGTATCTTACTCAAGTTTGAAATTTACTTGCAGTAAATACAGCGTGTCCCAAAAAAGATATATTCACACAATCATTACATACGTCAGCATTATGTATACATATTTTTGTGACATCCTGTGCGAATTTATTATCATCAGTAAAGATACTGTATTGCACGCTTAAACTTGCATGAATGCGTATAATCTTAAATTATATTACTGATAAAGATATATTAACATTAGAGACTGCATTGTCATAAACGGTTTTGTTGAAAAAGCTAATCTGTAGTTCAGATATATTTTTATGTAATAACTTTTATTGACGTAAGATTGATATAGTCTTACGGAACACGAAGGTTCATCACCGAATTAATCAAAGCCCTCCACCGGACCCTGTCCTGGGCCAACAAAATCCAATCTCCTTCGACTCTTATCTCCCATAGATCCCGCCTGAGATTATCCTCCCATCTACGTCTAGGTCTCCCCAGAGGTATCTTCCCCTCAGGCTTCCCAACCTGTACCCGGTGCACACCTCTTGTCCCATCCATGCGCGCTACATGCCCAGCCCATCTCATTCTTCTCGACTTAATCACCCTGACAATACTGGGGGAGGAGTACAGATTTTTAAGCTCGTCATTATGCAGTTTTCTCCACGCCCCATCGTCTTCTCTCCTAGGCCCAAATATCCTCCTCAAACACCTGTAATCTGTGTTCCTCCCTCTGAGTGAGAGACCATGTTTCGCACCCATACAAAACAACAGGCAATATCATTGTTCTGTGTATTTTAATATTTAGGTTCTTACAAATCAGATTTCTTGAAAGCAAGCCGTTATTTTAACTGTTCTTACTAAAGGTAAAAATA